TCTCCTGACCTCGTGGTCTGCCCGCCTCGGCCTTCCAAAGTGCTAGGATTACAGGTGTGAGCCACTACGCCCGGCCAAAATGAAAAATTCTAATGTGGTCTGGTCTGCCTTCCTATATATAGTCATGTGTCGCTTAACAGTAGGGACATGTTCTGAGAAATGTTGAGTGATTTCATCATTGTGTGAACATCATGTGTTACACAAACCAGATGGTACAGCCTACTATACACCTAGGCTATATAAGATAGCTTATTGCCGCTAAGCTACGAACCTGTACAGCATGCTATACTGAGTGTGGTGGCAGTCATAACACCATGGTAAGTATTTGTGTATCTAAACATAGAAAAGGTGTAGTAACAATACAGTATTGTAGTTTATAGGACCACCATTTTATAGATAGTCTGTTGTTGACCACATTGTTACACAGCTCATGGCCACAGTTATATCCTGTATTAATCTAGTCCATACTGCTCATTCTGGATAGTGTCCAACTACTGTTCCCAATCTAGGGAGCATTTTGTTTTCTCTTCCTTAAAAATCAAGGCTCTGACATATGACATACACATTGACTTTAGAATTTAAGAGATGTAGGTTTGAATTTCTGTTCTTCATTTGTTAGCAATGTGACTTGGAGTGACGTGCTTACATTTCTCAGTTTTCTCATCAAAATGTGGTGATGAACAAATAATATTTTGTAAGGTTGCTTAAGGTTTAAGTAAGATAATGTAAGTAAAGCCATTAGCACAGTGCCTTGTATCTAGAAGGTGTATTTATTCCCCTACATGATATTCTCCTCATCATTCCTTTGGGTAAGCAGTTCATATGAAATAGTGGAGATACCAATATGCATAAGTAGATTCATTTCAGTGTTACCCATTCCACCAATTATTTGAGCAAAACTTATACCTGAATTACCTGAATTTCATTTGGGTTTCAACCCATTTATTAACTGCCTGATCTGTTTCATAGCTTTTTTTTTTTTTTTTGGAGACAGAGTCTTGTTCTGTTGCCTAGGCTGGAGTGCAGTGGCATACAATCTCAGCTCACTGCAACCTCGGCCTCCTGGATTCAAGTAATTCTCCTGCCTCAGCCTCCTGAGTAACTGGGATTATAGGCACCTGCCACTACACCTGACTAATTTTTGTATTTTTAGTAGGGATGGGGTTTCACCATGTTGACCAGGCTGGTCTTGAACTCCTAACCTGAAGTGATCCACCTGTCTCAGCGTCCCAAAGTGCTAAGATTACAAGTGTGAGCCACCACTCCTGGCCCCTCATTAACTTTTGAAAATATGCTTTTAAGTGAAGTATAACACATTAAGAGTTTTTCTATTTTTTTTTTCTATTTTTTTGAGACGGAATTTCATTCTTGTCATCCAGGCTAGAGTACAATGGTGCGATCTCGGCTCACTGCAACCTCTGCCTCCCAGGTTCAAGCAATTCTCCTGCCTCAGCCTCCCTAGTAGCTGGGATAACAGGCGCCCACCACCACTCTCGGCTAACTTTTTTTTTTGTATCTTTAGTAGACATGGGGTTTCATCATGTTGGCCAGGCTGGTCTCGAACTCCTGAACTCAGGTGATCCGCCTGACTCAGCTTCCCAAAGTGCTGGGATTACAGGTGCTTCGACCCTCCAAAAGTGCTGGGATTACAGGCGCCTCGACCTCCCAAAGTGCTTGGATTACAGGTGCCTCGACCTCCCAAAGTGCTGGGATTACAGGCATGAGCCACCACGCCCAGCCCAAGAGAGTTTTTCTTTTACATCAAAGAAAAGTTTCTTTTTCTGTAATGAGACTATTAGGTGTTTCATTTTTTATTTTGAAAAATCTTCAAACTGGTGGAATAAAAGCAAAAGTAGTATAGCAAACCCCTCTATATCCTAACTACAATACAATTAGCATGTTTAGGAAATTAACATTAGTACAGTGCTATGTAATTTGATACTACATCAGTTTTGCCTCTTCCCCCCAGTGATGTCTGCATAGCATTTCTTTTTCCTACTTCATCAGTTCAAGATCATACACTTGATGTAGTTATCATGTCTCTTTGCTCTCCTCCAATCTATATTGGTTCCTCACCCTTTTATTTATTTATTTTTTGACTTTTATGACATTGCTATTGTCAAAGGCCAACTGTTTTGTAGTGTTTCTCAACTTGAGTCACACTGTTTCCTCATAATTTTATTTGGGGTATGCATTTTTGGGGGGCAGGAATAATATGGAAGAGAGACCATATAAAAGACACTGTGTTCTGTAAAGGTATATCATATGAAGAGGTATATAATGCCAGTTTGTTCTCTTATTGGTGATGTTAATTTAGATGACTCAGTTAAGGTAGTATCCACTGGGTTTATTTTCTCTAACGTTATGACTTTCTTCTTTGTTGTTAACAAGTAATCTGTGGGGAGATACATTGAAATGGTGTAAATATCCTTTTTACCAATTCATTTTGATTCAGTGGTTTTTGGATCCTTGATGATACTTGTCTGAATCAGATATTACCAGGGTGCAAATGGTAGATATTAGAATTTCAAAATACAATTTCTAAGAGTTTTAGTTTTAGTGTCCCTGAAATGAGGTGTTTTGTTTTTTTTTTTTTGGGAAACGGAGACTTGCTGTGTTTCCAGGCTGGAGTGCAGTAGCACGATCTCGGCTCACTGCAACCTCTGCCTCCCAGGCTCAACCAATTATTCTGCCTCAGCCTCCTGAGTAGCTGGGACTACAGGCACACACCACCACCATGCCCAGCTAGTTTTTGTATTTTTAGTAGAGATGGGGTTTCACCCTGTTGGCCAGGATGGTCTCGATCTCTTGACTTCATGATCTGCCTGCCTCAGCCTCCCAGAGTGCTGGGATTACAGGTGTGAGCCACCGCGCACGGTCTGAGCTTTCTTTAATAGTAATAACTACAGAGTATTTGATTGATATCTGCTCTGTCATGGCTTTAATCATTTTTATGATTTTTAGGTTCATGTACTGGACAGACTGGGGAGAAGTGCCAAAGATAGAACGTGCTGGAATGGATGGTTCAAGTCGCTTCATTATAATAAACAGTGAAATTTACTGGCCAAATGGACTGACTTTGGATTATGAAGAACAAAAGCTTTATTGGGCAGATGCAAAACTTAATTTCATCCACAAATCAAATCTGGATGGAACAAATCGGTAAGATTATAAAATTAAAAAAAACTTTTAAGAAAACTCCATGAAACCTTAATATATTAAAAGTACAAAGTCTAATTTTATTAAGAAATATGTTTATTTTTTATTAAGTGCCAGAGGGGAAGAAGAATAGTCTTTTAGTTAGCTGTTTAAAAGTGCTTTAAAAGTAATTACATTTATCATCCATCTTGATAGCATTTAGAATTTGCAGGCTGTATTTCCTTTTTCCTTACTCTGAGCTAATTTAATTCTTCAGTGGTTCTCCACCAGGGGTAGCATCTTTACTCCCTTTGTTTGGAAATGTGTGGAGAATTTTGTTTAACCCAAGGACTGGGAGTGCTACTAGTATTTTACTTCTGGTGTTAGGGGAAGGTCCAAGGTTGCTAAACATCCTGCAGTGTGCTGGGCATCAGTACAACAAAGAGTGTCCCATGCAAAATGACCCCCAAGTCCTGCTAATGGAACTTTGATAAATCTCTTTACTAGGATGGGGTTTGGCCAACATTTTCTGTAAAGGCTCAGATAGTAAATATTTTAGGCTTATGATCTCCGGTTCAGCTACTTCTGCTACTGTAGTTTAAAAGCGGCTATAATAATGCATACGGGAATAGGCATGACTGTGTCCCAGCAAAACTTTATTTATCTATTTACGTATTTATTTTAGACAGTCTCGCCCTGTCATCCAGGCTGGAATGCAGTAGCGTGATCTCAGCTCACTGCAACCTCTGTCTCCTGGGCTCAAGCGATCTTCCTGCCTCAGCCTCCCGAGTAGCTGGGAGTGTAGGCACACGCCATCACATCGGGCTAATTTTTGTATTTTTTGTAAAGATGGCATGTCACCATGTTGCCCAGGCTGGTCTTATCCCTGAGCTCCAAGTGATTCACCGGCCTTGGCCTCTGAAAGTGCTAGAATTATAGGCATCAGCCATAGCACCCAGAGTAAAACTTTATTTGTAAAGCACAATGAGCCTGTGGGCTGTAGTTTGCTCATCCCTGGACAAGGAGAAAACCTACTACATGTACTATACATTTCAATGTTCAAGGAAGACAAAGTCTATAATACATCAACGCGGAGTTTCTTCTCAGATTATGTTCAGATTTTTAAAGACATTTTATATTTGGATTCTTGTGTTTTAATGATAATTTTGGTTTTTGGTCTCAATCTGAGACCTCACCAGATGAGAGGTTTTGGTGATTGAAGGATTTTTTTCAATGTGTAAACATGTGTCAATTATCTGAACTAAGAATAAGGGACGTTTAGAAGTACTGAAAACCAGGAAAGATTTAGAGAATTCAGTTAAACTTTTTGTAATCATGGAGTTGGAGTATTTTTTGCCTTCTTTCAAAAAAGAGTGAAATGATATATAACAATATGGTTTAAAGTAAATTTAAATGTCAAAAAGTAAGTATATGATGAATATAGAAACAACTGCTGTTTTTGACCTCAAATCTGGCTGTGAGGGGGATTCGAGGAAGATGGATGTGACCATGTCATAGTATTTTTGTTTTTGTTTTTAACTGAAACCTACAGAAACTAGATAGCAAACCCAAATCTATGGATAAAGTTGACCATAGCCTTAGGCATTTGAAAATAAAACTAGATAAGGGCAGACCACCAACAGAAACTAGGTAGCAAATCCAAAAACATGGATAAAATTTACTATAGCCTTAGGCATTTGAAAGTACAACTAGATAAGAGCAAATCACCAACAGCCGCAAGACCTCCATGTTACCACTGTGCAAGAATAAGCAGGGAGATTTAACAGGGTATCTCATAAGACTTGAAAGCAGGGGAACGCCAAAATAGCCACAACTATTTGCTGGACAAGATGGTGGGTTATTTTAAGAACAGCAGCTGAATGGGAGGGTGGGAGGGTTGCCCACTCCAATATTAGGCAAGAGCAGTGTGACCATGGTAAAGACAGAAGAAGCTAGAGTAGTCTAGCCCCAGCGAACTCTCAAAATGGAACTACTGAAATGAACCTGCCAGAGTGCTCATCCAGGACAGAGCACCACACTGATTAAAACAAAATTGAATAGGACAGAATAATCCAAATTGAGCAGGATAGGGACAATAGAATAGAGAAGAACAGGAGGAGAAGGAAAGAGAAGGTTCAGATAAGGTTGGGAAGATCAATGGCTAGTAGATCTCAGAAAGCAAGCTACCAGGTTTTTGAACATTATGTGAAAACAACGGAGGAATGAATTCTGTGACATCAGAAAAACTACCTTGAACTCTACATTATTTTAAAAGTTCAGGAACACTAATTTTACATAGACAAGAGAAACAGAAAAGTATCAAGGTAAAATCCCATTTAAAGTTATTATAAAGGAAAAAACAAAAGCTCTTATAAATAAAAGCACCCCAGAAAAACATGACCGCTCAACAGATCAAACCTCTATTATAAAATGAGCTGGAGAAGGAGGAGGCTGCGAATCACTTACAAATGACGTTGAAGCAGGACCCAAACCCTGAGTTCCAGAAGGATGAGCGAGTGCTGTACTTTCATGGGCTGCTTCTTTATGAAACAAAATGTGTAAAGGTTGCCATAAAGGACAAACAAGTGAAATACTTTATATATTACAGTGGTTGGAATAAAAATTGGGATGCATGGGTTCCAGAGAGCAGAGTACTCAAATACATGGACACCAATTTGCAGAAACAGAACTTCAAAAAGCCAATCAGGAGCGGTATGCAGAGGGGGAGCTGAGAGGCGCTGCCCCAAGAAAGAAGACATCTGGTCTGCAACAGAAATTGTTGAAGTGAAAACAAAAAAGAACAAACAGAAAATACCTGGAAATGGAGATGGTGGCAGTTCCAGTGAGATGCCTCAGCCTCCTTGGAAGAAAAGGGCCCAGGTAGAGTCTACTCTTGAAAATGAGGACACATTCATGAACAGAGTTGAAGCGAAAAAGTGAAAATTCCTGAAGAGCTGAAACCATGGCTTGTTGATGACTGGGACTTAATTACCAGACAAAAACATCTCTTTTACCTTTCTGCCAAGAAGAATGTGGATTCCATTCTTCAGGATTATGCAAATTACAAAAAAATCTCATGGAAAAACAGATAATGAGTATGCTGTTAATGAAGTTGTGGCAGGGATAGAAGAATACTTCAATGTAATGTTGGCTACCCAGCTACTCTCCAAATTTGACAGACCACAGTATGCTGAAATTCTTGCAGATCACCCTCATGCACTCATGTCCCAGGTTTATGGAGCACCACATCTATTGATGTACAAATTAAAGCAGTGTTGGCCTATACACCTCTGGATGAGAAGAACCTTGTGGTTTTTTTTTTTTTTTTTTTTTTTTGAGATGGAGTCTCGCTCTGTTGCCCAAGTGGGAGTGCAGTGGCATGATCTCAACTCATTGCAACCTCTGCCTCCCCGGTTCAAGCGATTCTCCTGACTCAGCCTCCTGAGTAGCTGAGATTGCAGGTGCGCACCACCACGCCCATCTAATTTTTGTATTTTTAGTAGCAACAGGGTTTCACCATGTTGGTCAGGCTGGCTCGAACTCCTGACATCATGATCCACCCACTTCAGCTTCCCGAGTGCTAGGATTGCAGGCATGAGCCACTGCGCCTGGCAGAGCCTTGTTTTATTACTGAATTATCTTCACAGTTTCCTAAAGTACCTGGCAAAGAATTCTGCAACATGTTTTAGTGCCCAGCAATTATGAATGGCTCCTCCAGAGAACCATCAGAAAGCTGTGTGAGAGGCACTCTCACTCATGTTTGGATCTCTGTAAACATATTTTTGTTCTTAGTCTTTCTGTTGTACAAAGGAGTACTTTGAAGATGTTATTGTACAACAATTGATGTTTTTCTGTTTAAACAGAAAATAAAAGGAGTAATAGCTCCTTTTTTCCTATCTTACCTTTTTTTCACTTCAAAGTTGCTGCCAGTATATTCAACAATGGACAACAGAGGCACATGCTGTAGAGTGTTTTATTGCCTAGTTGACAGAACTGCATTTGAATGCTGGTGGTCCTGTTCCTTTGACCCTACGTACTTTTATAATATGTGTTCATGCTGTATGACAAAATGCTGTGATTCCTAGTGTCAAAGGTTCAATTCAGTGTATATAACTGAACACACTCATCCATGTGTGCTCCTTTTTGTTATGGTTCTTAAATAGCCCATTCTTTGCAAGTCATCCATGTTGTTCTTTAGGCATTTAACTTTGCTCAAATTGTTGAAGAATGGTGTCTTGTTGCATGGTTTTTGTATTTGTGTCTAGTGCACATTTTAACATGGTAGATGCGATGCATTATGTAGCTAGTTTTCTGAAAAAGTCAATCTTTTAGGAATTATTTTTCAAATCTTCAATAAATTTTTTCTTTAAATTTCAAATAAATAAATGAGTCAAAAGTCATTGAGAAACCAATATGACATGTGAAAGGACAACATAAGATTAGAAAAATTCAGAAATGACTCACACTTATAATCCCAGCACTTTGGAAGACCAAGGCAGGTGGATCACCTGAGGTCAGGAGTTTGAGACCAGCCTGGCCAACATGGTGAAACTCCATCTCCATTAAAAATACAAAAATTTGCTGGACGTGGTGACACACGCCTGTAATCACAACTACTCGGGAGGCTGAGGCAGTAGAATCGCTTGAATCTGGGAGGCAGAGGTTGCAGTGAGCCAAGATCACGCCATTGCACTCCAACCTGGGCGACGAGAGCAAAACTCTGTCTAAAAAAAAAAAAGAAAAATTCGGAAATGAAGTGATAGAACTTAAGAAATAATTTTAAAAATCGCTTCAGAAAAGAAAACTAGAAGGGACACTAGGTTGAATAAACCAAACAACCTTTAAATAGAGGTTGAAAAGAAGGAAAAATTTAAAGACCGAAAAGAAATACAGAAAGACAAAAGATGATTTGAGAGAAAATGATAAATATTGAAGATAGGCAAAGAAGAAACAACACACAGATAATAAGACTCTTTAGAAAGCAAAGCAGAGCAAGGGAATAGAACAACTATGAACAACTATAGAAAAATTTTCTTACAAGAAGATTTGTGACTGGGCACGGTGACTCATGCCTGTAATCCCAGTACTTTGGGAGGCCAAGATGGGTGGATTGCCTGAAGTCAGGAGTTTGAGACCATCCTGGCCAACATGGTGAAACCCCGTCACTACTAAAAATACAAAAATTAGCCGAGCATGGTGGTGGGTGCCTGTAATCCCAGCTACTCGGGAGGCTACGGCAGGAGTATCGCTTTAATTCTGCAGAGGTTGCAGAATCTGTTCACTGCAACCTCTGCCTCTTTGGCACAAGCTATCCTCCCACCTGAGCCTCCCAAGGTACTGGGACTACAGGTGCACACCACCAGACCTGACTAATTTTTTTGTATTTTTAGTAGAGACGGGGTTTTACCGTGTTGCCCGTTTACTGGTCTTGAACTCTTAGACTCAAGTGATCCGCCTGCCTCGGCCTACCAGTGTTGGGATTACAGGTGGGAGCCACCATGCCTGGCCATAAATTTAATTCTTATAGTAACTACGTTGGTGTGGTCATAATAAATATCATTATTCTGAAGCTTTTTATTGTTGCATCAAGTAAGTGAGTATTAGGACATATTATATTGCTCCTGCATGTGCTAGATTCTTGTGTGCAAGAGAGGAAGTATAGATGTAATACTGCAGAGGTTAAGTCAAACTGATAATTCCGTATTTTAATGGAAAATTACTTACTAGTATGCACTTACTAGGTATTTTATCTTTCAAAAATACATCTACCCAACTGTGTTGGTTTGTTTCCTGACTATGAACACTGAAGAGGACTAGATCAAAAATAACCAATTGAGTAGCAGTTGAACATTTACAGTGCTGTGAGCAGTGAACTTCTGTAGCACCCAGATTGTGGTGTTGGGAAAAACCATTCCACCTTAAAAGAAACCAAGCCTTTCTAGCAAAATTGTTGATTCTAGGTTTTGGGCAAGAAATGTACCTGCTGAGCTGGAACATTGTCATAACAGATTGTAAGGAGGCTGTTAAAGACTATTTAGGTTCGTTTCAGAAAGACTGGAGAAATGACTGCACAACTCCCACCGGCCAGAGATTGGTAGAAACCTGTGAAGTATGTTTAAATTCTTGAGTTCATAATTATATTTTAAAAAGGAATTGGTTACTCTTAGATTATAGCATGATAGGAATGAATTTATTGCCTTGAACGTTGATAAATACAAGAAAGAAGCAATTTATCCTGCTTTTCCTATGTGAGTGTACCTCTGGCTAACAAAGTAGGAGATATGAGAGAGCTATTTCAATTGATAAATGAAAAAGAAATGACAGAATTGCAATACCACCATTTTATAACTTTGGTGAATGAATGGGTCTAGGCAGTGAGCATCGATGGCTACTAACATCACAAGAAGGAAAAGAACAGACATTATTTGCCTTTTGGTGTAAGAACATACTACTACCTACTATTTTGTCAAAGGAATCAATTCAACATGAGTCTGGTCAAGGCTCCATATATCAGCTGGCCATTTGTAGGAAATACAGAGGACAGAGAAACATTGAACTGCACCATGAGAGTACATCAGCAGATCTGGACATATAAATGAAATATCTTAGGTACTTTAACAGAGAGATTGTAAGGAAAAGACAGACAGGAAAAGAGCCTTGAATGAATGCTCTACCAAAAAAAAAAAAAAAAAAAATTCTTAGAACTGATAATAAATTTGGTAAAGTTGCAGGATACAAAATCAACACAAAAAGATCAGTAGCATTTCTGTACACAAAACAGCAAACTAGCTGAAAAAGAAATTAAGAAGGCAGTGTCATTTACAATAGCTGTAAGAAACTAATAAAATACCTAGGAATAAATTTAACCAAGGAGGTGAAAGACCTCTTCAGAGAAAGCTACAAAACACTGATGAAGGAAATTGAGGAGGACACAGACAAATGGAAAGACATTTCATGCGCATGGATTGGAATAATTCTTATTGTTAAAATGACCATACTACCCAAAGCAACCTACAGGTTAAGTGGAGTCCGTGTCAAAATACCAATGACATTCTGCACAGAAATAGAAAAAAAATCCTAAAATTTGTATGGGACCATAAAAGACCCTGAATACCCAAAGCAATCCTGAGCAAAAAGAGCAAAGCTGGAGACATCATACTAACAGACTTCAAAATATACCACAAAGTTGTAGTAACCAAAGCAGCATGGTACTGGCATAAAAACAGAAACACAGACCAATGGAACAGAATAGAAAATCCGGAAATTAATCCATGTATCTATAGCCAATTGCTTTTTGACAAAAGTGCCAAGAACATAGATTGGGGAAAGGATAGTCTTTTAAATAAATGATGCTGGGGAAACTGGATATCCACATGTGGAAGAATGAAACTAGGCACCCACCTCTCACCTTATACAAAAATCAACTCAGAATGGATCAAAGACCTAAATGTAAGACTTGAAACTATAAAACTAGTAGAGTAAACCATAGAGGAAATGCTTCAGAACATTGGTCTGGGAAAAGATTTTATGAATAAGACCTCAAAAATGCAGGCAACAAAAGCAAAAAATACCAGATGCATTATATCAAACTAAAAAGCTTCTACACAGCAAAGGAAACAGCAAAGTGAAAAGACGACCTACAGAATGAGAGAAGATATTTGCAAATTACTCATCTGACATGGGATTAATATCCAGCATATACAAGGAACTCAAACAGTTCAACAGCAAAAAAACAGTTTGTTTAAAAAATGGGGAAATGATCCGAATAGACATTTATCAAAAGAAGGCATATAAATGGCCACAGACATATGAAAAAATGCTCAACATCACAAATCATCCAGGAAATGCAGATTAAATTCACAATGAAATATCATCTCACCCTAGTTAGGATATGGCTATTACCAAAAAGACAAAAAATAATACTGTCAAGAATGCACAGAAAAGGGAACTCTTATACACTGTTGGTGGGAGTATAAACCAGTACAGCCACTATGGAGAATAGTATGGAAGTTCCTCAAAAACTTACAAATAGAACTACCATATGATCCAGCAGTCCCACTACTTGGCATTTACCCAAAGGAAAGGAAATCAGTGTATGAAGACATTTGCACCCCTATGTTTATTGTAGCACTATTTACAATAGCCAAGATATGGAATCAACCTAGGTGTCCAACATCAGATGAACAGATAAAGAGAATGTGGTATATATACACAATGGAATACCATTCAGCCATAAAAATAATGAAATCCTGTCATTCCTAGCAATATGGATAGACCTGGAGGACATTATCTTAAGTGAAATAAGCCCAGGAATAGAAAATTAAACCATGCATGTTCTCACTCATATGTGGAAGGTAAATGTTGATCTCACAAAAGTAAAGAGTAGAATAGGGGATACTAGAGGCTGGATAGGGTAGGGGAAAGGAGGAGATAAGAAGAGATTTGCTAAAAAAATACAAAATTACCGTTAGAAAAAGCTTAAGTGTTCTGTACCACTGTAGGATGACTGTACTTAACAGGTAAAACATTATATAGTTTCAAAGAGGATACTGAATGTTTCCAACACAGAAATGTTAAATGTTTGAGATTATGGACATGCTAATTACCCTGAGCTGATCACTGTACCTTATGTGTACTGCAACATTGCTGTGTACACTACAAATACGTGTAATTATCATGTACCAGTTAAACATTTTTTAAAAGAGAGACTTTAAAAGAAATAGCAAATGAAAATGGGGCTTAAGGCTAAACTGTTTTTCTGTGGATGCACACTTATAGAAAGCAGTGAAACTATAAAGGCAAGAAAGTGACTAATAGAAAATCAGAATAGTAGTTACTTCTGTGGAGAGGGAGGGAGTGGGACAGGGTTCATGCAGGGCCTTTTGAAGTCGTCTGGGTGATTCACCCAGATCAAGTTTTTTTCCTTCATCTGGGTGAATTCATGGTTGCAAGAGTGTTTGCCTTATAGTCACTTCTTAAGCTATGTTTCTCTGTATTGGCTTTATTTTTTAAAAAAAAGATTAAAAATAGTCTTGAGCAGATATTACCTGTAGGTTTTTTAAATAAAGGGATTTTATCAGGTTGAGGAAGTTCCTTTCTATTCCTAGTTTATGGACAGTTTTACCATGAATAATTACTGGATTCTGTCCAGTCCTTTTTCTGCATCTGTGGAAATGATTATGCGGTTTTATTCTTTATTTTATGAACATGGTGAATTTCAGTAATTGGTTTTCAGTTGTTAAACCAATCTTGCATTTCTGGGATAAGTTCTACTTGGTCGTGATTTATACTTCTTTTGAAATGTTGTTAGATTTTGTTTGCTAATATTCTGTTGAGGATTTTTATGCCTTTAATAGTGAAGGATATTGATCCATAGTTTGTT